GGGAGTATGGGAGACTGCGACATGACCGTCCATCGATGGAAGGTTCTCGCCCGGTGGCAGCTCGAGGCTGTACCTCTGCACCAGGTTGCTGAGGAACAGGAAGACCTCCGTCTGCGTCAGGTGATTCCCCAGGCACATGCGGCGCCCTGGGGAAGAGACAGGGACGCGCCCTTGAGCGTGATCGGCGTTTCACACTTGCTTGATGACCATTCAGTCTCCAGAAAAGCAACCCCCTGGGCCAGCTTCCTAGAAATAGTCTTGCCCAAAACTGCGTGAAAGAAAGCACTGCCGAAGTTAGCGCTCAAGTTGAGTGGCATGTGAAGTCGAGTCTAAAGTGCGTCCGCACTTGATGCTCAAGGTCACATGTCAGTCTGCTCTCTTTCAGTCTTAGCTATGACGCTTTTTCAAGCAAACCGGCCCCGAAAGCCTCGGTCATGTCACCCCAAGAAACTTTCCCCCTCTAAGTCTGCAAACACTAGAAAGGCATTTATGTTTGAAATGCGTTGAACACAAATGTAAAGAAGTCTGCTAATTTATGGTGCCGCAAATTAATTTTACGGAAAGTCTGCCTTTCATGCTTGCCCTGGCTTGATGTGAGGATGGCTGTGTGTGCCAACTGTCTTGTTGAAAGGAGTGTCGCACGCACAACGTGTGACACTCCTTTTTGCAACGTTTTTGGTTCGGGGCACGTGCGTCCCTGAATGTTTCAAACTATGTCTCCTCTGCAGCGAAGAATGTTGCTAATTTTTGGAGCAACTTGGGTAATTATATCATATTGTTCTCCGGCAAAAACACTGATTAAATGAAGGCACAGGTACACGGGATTTTTGTCAGAATAATTTAGTTGAGAGAAATATGCTTCGTGCACCATGATGACATTAGCCCGAGACTGGGGCACGATAAAAGGATACCCAAGTTTGAAGAGAACATGCACAAAGATGGACGCACGGTTATGGAACCAAATGAAGATAAGATTATCAACTCCAATCTTCAGAGAAGCACCACTCACCAACCGAGAAGGGCATAAAGAAGTCTGGCTTGTGCACCCTGCCATTGACTAGGAAGCGCCCTGGATTGAAGAGCTCTGGCTCGTGCCACAGCTCAGTGTCCATGTGGATGGCCCAGAGGTTGGAGATGACGTGCGTGTCCGCTGGAATGTGGTAGCCCGCCAGCTCCACATCACTGCGGGGTAAAAGGTGATTCTGCGATTCTTTCTCGAGATTCAACTTGGTCCTTCACTAAAATTGCACGGAAATATTTCCAGATATATCGGCTCGTTGCTGACTTGGCTGGTTTTGGTCCACTGAGTTGAATGCACATGTTCTGGTGTGGATATGCCTCATGGTTAGCACAAGAAGCATGTGTTTTCTAAAGAACGGTCTCACCATGGGCTCTCGAAACGTTGAGTGAATTCATTTTTTCTGAAGTGATTTGGGTTCCCTGGTCGTGCTAAGTTTACCTGGAAATAAAAGCTGTCCTACTACTACTGAATGGAGGGAGGATATTACTTTATGAACCATTCTTTTATTATCTGGAGCTATTTTAGAGCAGTAGTGACCTATGAATGGCAATTTAAAGAAAGCCCACGATAAATTGGGTCTAGAATTTTGTGAATGGTTCCAGTGTCAAGATCTCATGATGCAGGGTAGGCTCATATAGTAGGGGCATTCTTTCCAGCATCTTTTGAATGGTTACTTCTATTGAAGCAGGAAAAGCCAACCTCAGCCTTCATTGTCATTACACGGAAAGGGTTACTATGACAGAATTAATGTTTGGCCGACTGTCTTAAACAATTGCCTTCCAAGCAAGATATCCAAAGCAACATATTGTCTAAATTCTTGTGGTCGTTAGCACTTGTACGTGAACATTACAGCTTTTGAGTCTTTGCTGATGGTCTATCAACAGGGGCATCTAACTTAGAGCCCCTAACAATCTTGCTGACTTTCTCATTCAGATTGCCTTATCCATAGCATTTACCTGTGATGCCACAGAGCGACTCTAGGAAGCTTTCAGTAGATTCCTGGAATACTTCCATCCCATATTACCCTCGGAAGAAAGCAGTGGGAACCAGAGGATCTTTCCTTGCAGCAAGAAGCATGCTAGGGGCATTTCAGCAATACCCATGAACTTGCCATTGTGTGTGCCTCGCGCCTGCTAGCACCAGTGGGACATCAAAGCATCCTCGTTTCAAGGTTCTAGGTGACAGTAATGGCTTATGAGTATAGTGGTGACTTCTACAATAGTTATAGAAATGCATTAAGAGGGGAGGAATCATGTTTGTAAAGCTTCTAGGTTAGATGGCACAAGCTGCAGACCGCTATAAAGGGCACAGCTGTTAATATTCATCCATTCACCCAGTCTTAGCTATGAGAAGGTCTACAGACCATCAGCAAGGTGGTAGTGCCCAGAAGCCGTAGTGGCAAGCATTTACAAGCCCCCATCCACAAGGTGCACGCAACCTTATAGTTATGAGTGCTGACCAGAGCGTGGCGTGGGCATTTCCGAGGGCAATGACGTTGGCCCGCCGTAGCACCTCCAGGATAGTGGCCTCGGTGTATGGCAGGGCCGGCAGGTCGGCCATGGTTGCCCGTCTCCCGTGGGGCCTGACGTGGGCCTCGATCTCGTGCCGCACGCGCTCTTGCACGTCTGGATGGCGCACGAGGAAGAGGATGGCCCACTCGAGGGTGGACGTGACTGTCTCCAGGCCAGCGCTGAAGATGTCCATCAGCACCTGCACCAGCTGCTCCTCTGAAAATATAAAGAATATCATTAGGCATGGCAGAAATCTTTGAGGATTATTTTTTTATAGACTAAGGGCATCTGTTCGGATCGGTTTCTGGTTGGTGGTTAAACAATCGGACACTACGGTAGGGCTGAATGCCACGTAAAACAATCTATTCTTTTTTTTAATTTCTACTACCGGCTGTTAGCTTTTACAGGCAAAGATATAACCAGCAAGTTGCAGGAGTTTCCACTCCACGTTATATCCGCTGCTTACAAGTACTACCGACAACCATCGTATTGCGGGGTCGACCCGAAGCATGTGCGGGCCTTTTCGTAAATTGACGCATTTTACGCTACTTTCAATACAAGACCATTCGAGCGGCTTTACTCCACATTACCTTACAGCATTCATCGGTCTAAGGCTAAGTCTGCCTGTGTATGAAAACAAGGTGCATGTAGGATGTTCCCCACAATTCCTTGCATGCAGCCCTTCATTGTTTTTGCAAGCGATCATCTGCAAAGGGTGCCCCCCGAAAGGACGTTGGGAGGTTTGTCCTCACCCGAGAAGTAGGAGCTCCCGTCCCGGTCAGGCGGGCCCCTGGCCTTGTCGTGGGTCAGCTGCACCAGGTAGGCGTCCACAATGTCCCGGACCGTTCCCTCGACGTAGGACAGGCGGTGGGCGTCGGCGATTCTCCGGAAGTAGTCCGCCGTCTTGCGCCGGTTTCGCTTGATGCGCCGGTAGGCCCAGTTGGAGCCCGGCACGTAGCGCAAGGCCGGGATGAAGTTGACGGGTACGGCGAGCGTGAGCAGCCGGAAGCCTTCCTCAAAGAGGGCCAGCAACTGCTCGAACTTGGAGTCTCGCGACGAGTAGGTGACGCTCATCAGAAACGATCCCAGGATGCTGCTCACGGCGCGGGCGATGGAGTGCCGCACCTGCGATGAGCTGCCTTCGAACGAGTCGACTGATGCCAGGAACTCGCCGATGTGCACCTAAGGGTCAGAAGGGGATGTGGCGCGGTTAACTGGGGGGCTCCAGCGGTTTTTCAAGCTTCCCAGACTAAGTATGTTTGGGAACAAACTCAGTGGGGCCATCCATTGGGTAGCCTTGACACACTTCCAGTTCATGTATATTTCCTAATTTTTTACTCATCATTCTTGTATCATAAGAGTGAATTAGATCTAACAGTGCTATAAGTGGCCATTTCCAGAAGATAGCTTGTATATTTGGTTTTGCAAATACTGCAAAATATCATAGAAGGCCGGGTTATTGACATTTCAGATTCTACTGTATCCTCCCCAGCATTGTTTTGTGGAAGCTCAATAACTCCCGCTTGACTAGCTTGATGTTTCGGTAAGAGTAGGTCAGCAATGGCGGCTGTAATCTGCAACGTGTGTAAAGATTCTTAAAGTTAGACGCCAAAAACAACAAGGACACAAGAAGAGATTCAAACTGGACGAGTCTATAACTACATTTTTGGAATACACGCGTGTTGCAGTGATTTGTGTTCCAGGCATGTTACAGTGATCTCTCATTATTACGCACTGCGTTATAGGGGTACGGAAACAAATGTTCAGCGCCCTTTTACTCTTTAAACTTTGACTGTGTTGTGGCAACGTTGCGGAGACACCAATGTTTTGTCTGAGAGGACAAAAAAACATGATTCAAAACGAATCGAACGCCTAGCTACCACTATGTTCTTTGTGGATGTTCCTAAACATTCTTGTAATGTCGTTATATCAATTGGTTGATGTAGCAAAAAGTCTGAAGTGCTTCTAACTTGACAGTGTAGCGAAGGTGACTAGCGTGGGTCCGCGTTGTTTCCTGTCAAATGTGCCTTTCTTTTGACCTTCCAATGTTTACAAAATCACAGTTCAGCATGCAATCTTTACAGCCCAGCTCGTGCGTGTTTGTTTCTTTGGAAAGCGAGCAAAGCACGCGCCGTATGCACAAACACTCAAGATGGCATCGGCCACACTCCCTTTTTTTGGAAAAGTTTATAGCGAGCTCGTGCCTGCAGCAGTTGCTGCCGCGTGTCATTGAACGCGTCGTTAAAGACTGCATGCTTGTGGCTTCCGCTTTGCTTGCACCTACGATAAAACAAAAAGCTCGAGGTACACCTAAGCACTTATGAGTTGTGAATGCGAAAGCATGCAAGCCGCTCGTCCGCTCCCTTTGTTGTCTGCTGCATACTTTTCGTCGCCGGTCAGCACGTGTGCTCCCCTGGGCACGCTGACCTCGGACGCTCCGTGTTAATGGTGCGCTGATGGACACGCAGAGCCATGGGGTAAGCAGTCATGGAAACTGACGAGTGCAGCGGCCAATGGGAGCCCCGTCGACGTGCGCCAGCCAGTGGAACCGAAGGCAGTCGCGGAAACTAGGTGCCGTTTTCGCACTTCAAACTGATGACATCAGCTCGCTCCATGGACAGTTAATGCTTTTGCATTAAAATATAGTTGGTCGTAGCTTTTGACTGGCGCACTGACCTGCATCTTCTGCTCGAGCGCCACGCTTCCGGGCCGCCCATGTCTGGGCACGAAGTCTCTGAAGACGCGATGCAGGAAAGCCCGCTGTTCCCGCCACAGGGCGCCCGCTGAGTTCACAATGCCTGCAAGCAGAGAAGGCGTTTTTTTACAACGTCAGCTCTAAAGTTGTACTCTGGCGATTTTTTTTTTAGCTATCCCAACTAATTATATTTTCTGAATCCACGGCTTTTACCCTTTCCGGTATGCAATTTAGTATCGCGAAATTCATAATAGTTACTGGGAAATCGGCAAATGAAAATGTTGCATAAACCAACATTCAAATGTACCTGCACTTCTCAGTGCTGTGACGTCAGTGGAAGGCAGGCTTGCCAGTCGAGCAAGGAGTCTAAAAATAGGCTGTGCCAAGCAATTATTTCCTGCTGGTGCATGGGTACTGGAGTGAGCTTCCAAAGCTTTCATTTCACACCATGAAACTGCTTGTAATCAATCAGTGGAGAAGAAAGTCTACCGTAAAATCCTGAATTAACGCCCCCCTTTTCGCCGTAGATAATTGGCAAAAAAAGTGGGGTGGGCGATCTTTCAGTATTTAATAACCAAAATCACAAACAAAAATCGAGTAACGTGTGCGCCAAAGCAGCGTGGGTTTCCCTAGCTCTCATCGCTGAAACCGTCAAACGACACATCGCTTTCGCTATCGAAGATTAAATCTAACGCCTCGTCTATGAGGCTCTCGGGATCCTCGGGTCCATTGGTTACCGAAGCCAAACGGTCGTTGAGCTCGCCGTCCTCGGAACCATCGAGCCTTGTGGATATTCCGCACCGTTTGAACGAACTTCGCACGGTATCCTCGGAGACGGAGGCCCACGCCTGAGCCACGAAGTCCACAACCTCTTGACGCGACGGCTTGCGAAGGTTGCCCTTTGGAGTCACCGAACCTTTCCGGAAGAACGATGCCCAAATTCCACGCAGCGCGTCCTTGAAGGGCTTCATCCATGAGACGTCCGCGGGTTGCAAAATGGACGTGCAACCGCCCGGTATCAAGACGACGTCGGTGTCTTTTGCGTCAAGCGCTTCTCGAGCCGCCTCTGTCTTGTGTATGGGTGCTTGGTCCAGTATGAGCAGTCTCCTCACGTCGTCGGCGTTCGGGCCCCAAACTCTCCTAGTCCACTCCAGTAGGACGGGAGAGGTCATCCAACCGCTCTTGGAAGAAGTAACTCGCACATTTGCTGCAAGTACAACAAGTATAACATGAAATAACAGTTTGGGCCCCAAACGCACATTACACATGCTACGCCGATCAGTGAAGATATGCGAACTGCCAGATTTTATGGCCGAGCGCCGAAGCACGCGCAAGTGAGTAAGCTTCGGAAAGCCAGCAAGTCACGCGCCAACTGCTCGTGCGCTCAAGATGGCGCCGGCCAGAACGGCTACGCCATCTTTCGGAAATGGGGCGATACAAAACAAAACGGGCTGTGGCGTTTTGTCAATGGATGACGCAACAGTCGCTCTATTTAAAAAAAAAAAAAAAAATGCTGTCAGCCTTATTTTTACGTATTTCTAAGGCTTTGTTTCGACATTTATACCCTGAATGGTGATTAATTACAACATACCTGGAATCCTTAGAGAAAAGAGTACTCTGGGGGGAATCCGGCCGGTTGGCTCCTTCAGTACGATCAAAGCAGGTAGCTTGATGCCCGCTTGCGTCGCGCACAAGGCCACCGTCATCCCTCGCCGAGCACAGCCGGTGTTGGCGATGCGAATACTCGACTCGCCGACAGCATTGTTGGTTCTCGCAGCAGGGCAATCCATCCGGACCATAGTCTGATCCATGTTGGCTATGTTGTAGTCCGAGTAGTTGTGCTCCAGGCGCAGAGTTGACACAGCCTTTCGCAACACCGTAATTGCTTCAACGTAGTCGGCAGGCAGCTTCTGACTTTCGTTGGTCCCCACCCGCATAGACACATTAAATCGCTTCTTCCAGTTAGCTATGTACTGGCATGACGCTTGGAAGTTTCCTTTGCCCATCTGTTCTGCCAGTTTCCGCGCATGCTCTTGAAGCAGGCGATTGCTGACTGCTCGACCGGCGGACCTCTCAGTCTCCAGGAAGTCCATCAGTGCGTCGTCGATTTCTTCACTAAAAACGGGTCGTCCCCTACCTATTGCTCTCTTCAACTTGTTCGTTCCATGGCATTGTTGTAGAAGTACTTGGTAGCTCGTATTCCATTTCCGTACACGCTTCCGGTCAACTTCGAAATGGCGCGCAGTCTTGCTCACGTTAGCTCCGTTCTTGCGGTGCCATTCCACGACTTCCACTTTCTTCTGGATGGTATAGCTGGACCTCATCCAGAGTATACACAAGAAACGTCTTCACAGTTTGCTGGTCGAAAGATTTTCTGGGGTTCTCGGGCGATCTGACGACAACCACTAAGTGACCTTCAACGCTTTCCTGATGTCATTCAATAAGTGACCTTGACCGCTTTCCGGGCTCCTTCCGTTATCTTATCTCCCTTATTGTGTGTGGCCTCTTCTTTTTGTGAAGGGAATCCTAGGTTTCCAAACCTTCTCCCCTACCCTCCGGCACCTTTCTCAACCTTCGGGCATCGCTATTTTTGGAAGGTGGGCGACCTATCAGTATTCGAGGGAAACACGTGTTCGAACATAAAAGCGGAGTGGGCGATCTATCGAGTGTGGGCGCTATTTCAGGATTTTACGGTAGAGTCCAAAGGGTGAACCCATACCTTCCACTGGCGTCACTTTTTCGTTGTTGCCATTAGAGACTTTCAGTTCGAAAAACACGGCGAGGGCCAAAGTTGCAAATTCAATGACTTCGCAAAAAGACAAATATTTTTACTTTATATTTAGGATACTATTTCAGCAATGGTCGTTTGTGTGTGTGGCAGATTTGCAGGCAAATCGGGGAGCATGAAGAAATATCCGGAGCACCCCTTTAAGGCGCGTTCACGCTGTCGACTAGCGACAGTCGCGAGAGTGACTAGCGACCACCGAAGTTCACACTGCAGGCCATTCGCGAGTCGCTATCGGTGAGTCGCTTCTCGGGTCGTGTTCAAATCTTACCCAAATGGATCCAAGTCACGTGACAACAAATATAGAACAACGCTAAACACTGGTATGTTTTCGATTGCTAAGGTACAAAGCCCTTACCCTGGGGTAAGAACGATTACATTTTAGAACATAGCCTCGGAAGCTCTTTGGAGCCGCCGTCGATTGGGTGCACTCCGCCGCGGATCGGGTTCGCGTTTGGTACTTTTCCGTTTTCATTGTCTGACAGCTACACATGTATGTTGCCATATGAAAAAGACTCGGTATGTGGACCTGGGTCCTTCGGAACCGTACGATGGCGTGCACTTGCTCGAGCTACCGCGTCGCAATACACACCTGTCAAGAAGTGGCAGAGATTTTCTGCCAGGCCGAGTTCTTTTTTTCGGGCGCTCGGTCAAATCGGGGTGCTCCGCTTATAAAGCAATGGGTATCCTTTAATAGCACTGACCAGGGTCGCCGCAGAGACCTCCGGGGCTCTGTATCCATGGCCGCTGCCGCGAACCGAGGCGTTAAGCGGACGTGTTGGTTGCTACTTCTCCCACAAAAGTTTGGCGTGTCGGATGTAAAGAAATGCGAGGTGCACCTTCCGTCACTTCCGAGGTGCCTCTGATTGGTTCAGCTGCCGGGCGACTCAGTGACAAGTCGCAACATTCGGTCTGGAAGCAACTGCTCCAAACCTGTCGCGCGACAAAAATTGTCGCACGACAGCTGCGACTTGCCGGTGTGAATGCGCCTTTACAGGCACGTCTCCCCAGTTTCTGACGGCGTGAGGGTGAACGAATTCAGTTCCCTGCTAAATTTAGCAGAAAAATTAATGTCACGGGACTTGCAAACGAATTCAGGTTCCCCGCTAAATGTAGCGAAAATTTGCATCACGTGAGCTATACACCAATTATGTTTCCCCCTAAGTTCGGCGGAAAAATTTGGCAACGGTGCAAGCGTAAAGGATCATAATTTCAGCGGCACCTGTTATTGGCATGCGCTTCAAAAACTGCGTAAGCGTAAACGAGAAAAAAAAAAAAAAAAAAAAAAGTTGTTGTAGTTAAAGGGAAACTGAAGCGGTTCTCTATTTGAGAAAAAACATTTCAAGGGCCTTCATTCTACCTTCAGGATCAGGAATATCAAGATTATTTTTCAATTTGGTACATGGAGGCTTCAGAAATTAATTTTTAAGGTACCGCCGAAGCCCCTCCTTCCCGCGGCGTGACGTCACACTAGGAGCGTTCGGAATATCTGCTCTCGCGCATCTTCAGCGCCTGTCAAAGCTATGCACGCGCACTCTTGCTATTTTCAGAAAGGTCAGAAAGAGACGTCACGACTGGTGTCAGTGCGGGGAAATATACCTGGCAAGCTTGCCGTTGCACGCGCTGAACACACGAGCGACACGCGCTTGGCGGCCCGAAGATCCTAGTATGACGTCACGACTGGTCGAATGTTTTTTCGCTTTTTCTCGCTTTTAGTTGCATCTTCAGGGAAAACAAAAGTGATATTCAGATTCACGGGATAAAAATACGCCAGAATTCACCTCTAACTCGTTTTTTTCAAGAAGTGTTTCAGCTTCCCTTTAAGTTTTATTACGTCGTACAATCGTCCCCCAATTTCTGGCTGTTGATGTTGGTTCGTGTCTTGGCCGCCTATAGGGAATTCCTCACTGAGTAGACCCACAAAAGAAATCTGGGGCCGGGGTTCCTATTTGGACATCCCGCTATTTCGGAAGCAGCAGGCGGGAGCGACTTTTAGGCCTGCTTCAGACGGGGCAATTTCGCCCAGCAACTTGACGTCGCAACACCATCAACCCGACCTGCCCGCGTTCACACGCAGCAACCGAACAGACTTCTTCCAAAACTCGAAGTGCCTCATCGAGGCGAAATGCCACGTAGTGCACTCTGGGAACTAGTTGGCCACTCAGTTTCGGTTTTGATTGAGGAGCTCC